GTGCTCTGGCAGGAATCCTGGCATGCAAATCACCTTCGGCGAGACGCCTTTGTACAGTGTTAGTACTAATTCGAATATTGTGAACATCTGCTACTTGTATCTGTAAGTTTCTCATTGTAACAAAATGTTCCCTTAAAGCACGAAGACTAATAAAACGATCTTGGCGTAGTGTTGTGACTCTCCGTCTTCCTTGTCCAGGTCGTCTTGTATGATCATTTGTCTCTTGAAATTGTTGAACGGCACGTGATATTGTTGTATGAGAAACTCCTAATCTCAAGCCTATTTCACGATAACTTATTCCTTCATTGGCTAAAGTAACTCCCTCAACACACTCATCGCGGTTTAAATGTCTTGAAATACGGTCCGTGTCAAATAAACACTTAATAACCCAAAGCAGCAACTTGCTAAATGCGTAAATAAAATTGACAAGCATTTCTGTCAAACTGTTTGATATTTCATAGCCTGCTTGTTTCATTAGTAAGGACTATATTTCAACAAAATTAAGTCAAACTTAAAAAATGTGTATCTTCCTTGATAAAAGAGATATCGAGATGATTCTTGAACGAAAATGCAGAGAAGGGTTGCCATTCTAACGTAATGTAAATGGAATGTAGCGGTTCTTTCTGATAAATTCCACAGGGTGCTGCAAAATTAGAAGAAAAAACATAAATTTCTTTTTACACCCCGTATATGGGTAAAACGTTGACAATTGTCAGAAACCATCAACACATTTCTTCCTTAAAAATCAACCTATACCGTGAAGAAAGAATCATCAAAATCCATCAGTTGATTCAAAAAAAAATACCTTTAAACTTAATGCATAATTTAGGTGGTGCGATAATTTTGGAGAGTAGTGTACATTAAAGAAACGTTTAAGTTTGAATAAAATAATAGAAACGTGTAAATAATAAAGTAAATAACAACAAAAAATGTAATAAAAGTAGTTACACTCTCGAATACAGAATAAAATAATCTTTCGAATAATGTTAATTTTTACTATTTACGAAAATCAAGTTGGCTCCGCATCTTGAAAAGTTTGACAGCTAAACAGTGGAAAATTTTGTAAACAAGAGATTTTGTTTAGTCAAATTCACATTTCAAATGTCATGTTGATCCGATAAGTACTTTTGGAGAAATTAAGCCAGTTTCATGGTTTGTACATTAAGTATTGTTGAATATGTATACATTGCAAGTCAAGATCATATAATTATTATTCACTCCAATGTTCAATATTTTATACAATGTTTCAATATAACTGTTATTGTTTTTGTTGAGCATTTTCTTCCGCGATTTCGTGATGAAGTTCTCTTCTTTTGAAAATTACCCAACAGAAAGTTCACTTTAAATTAACATTATTATTATTATTGCTGCCGGGCTGAGAGGAACTGCCGGGCTCTTGTTACCGCGACCTATAAGATCTATTGTAACTTGATGAACCTTAGTATTGCCCTGAGCTGTTTCTGACTCGTCGTTGCAAAGTCGACAAGTTTGATCCTCAGCTTATCCAATGTGGAAGAGGTGGTATTTTAGGGGCGTATGGTCGGTCAGGTAGCCTGGGAGCGTCCTTAGATCCCCTTTGCTGAGGCATAAAACCTCTTTGGTTTTGTTTTGCGACGGAGTTATCATACTTTTTGCATGCCTGGAAGTTCTTTCCAGCGTAAGGCTACCTTTGATACCTACCTCCCAATTATTGATTATTTGTTTTGAGTGGCTTTTTTGTAGTCCACAACCAGGTTGGGGTCCAATGAAGGGCGTGTTCGCTGCTTCTCTGGCCAGCTTGTCCGCCTTCTCATTGCCTTCAATATTGCGGTGAGCTGGAACCTCCCATAGGGTAACATCATTGCCCCTAACGAGTTCTCTCAGGTTGCTGGTACACTCTCTGATCAGTGCGGAGTCACACGTGTAGGCCTGCATTGCTTTTAAGGCGGCCCGACTGTATGTGAAAATGTTTATGGATGCATCTTTCTGTCAATTCTGTAGGTTCAAAGCGGTGCAGAAGTTTATAGCAAGAACTTCTGGTTGGAAAATTGTTATGTCCGAGCTGAGGGGCAGTTTAATGTGGCAATTTGGTTCACTGATGCCCATACCTACTCCGGATCTATTAACTGTCTTTGAAGTATCGGTGTACCAGGCTAGGACTCCTCTTTTTAGTTGAGGCCTTTCCTTCGCCCAATCATCCCTGCTTTTACATATGACCTTATACGGCTGGTTGAAATTGAAGGGTACAGGGGAAAAACATACTAAGTCACAAAAGTCAAGTTGCGAGATAATCGAAGTTTAAAGTTCAAAACTCTATAACTTTTTAAATATAGATAATGCTATTAATTAGTTTGAATAAGAAAGTATAACAGATTAGTCTTAATAAATACCCTTAGTATCATTTTTTTTTGAAATTTCAAATTTGAAGAAAATTCAATGTTGACAATTTTTAGCAATCATTTTTATGTGAAGTCTATTACTAATATGACCCAAAGCAAAAAATACGTGTTTTTTTTAATTATATTTTTAACGAAAGAACTAAAGTTAACATTGAGATTACATATAGTACATTTTAATCAGTATAGCGTCTTGTTTTTTGATATGGAGATCTTGATATCTAATTAGCGTCCTGCAACAATAATAAAACAACAGTACAACTCAATGATTCAAGGTTATTATAAAATAACTTACCTCTAGAAATACATCCTCGTCATCTTCATCGTTATCTTGGTCAACGATTTTGAGATTTTGGTAGAACAGTTTAGCTTCGGGTCCGCAGAAGCGACTTAAAAACATTATGTTATCGAATTTCTTTTTTGGAATCGGAATTGGGCCCTCATAAAGTAGTTCTGGTTCCTCTGCTTCTCGGTTTCTGTTCTGTCCAACACTCGTCTTCTTCTTCTTCTTGTCCAGTATAATGTGAGATTCCCAGCTCCCAGAATAAGATTCCCGTAACTGTACTGTCCGTGGATGTTGTTTTTCAAAGAGAATCTCAATAATGGGTCTGGTCTGAAAAGAAGCTTTTTTTTTGTAGGACGTGGTCAAAAAGTATTTACTCCAATGTTTAAAGAGGCTCCTATCGCATTCGATTACTGTAAATGGGGAAGGTTTTGAGCGTGATGTTCGTACATGTTCATTCCACTGTGAAGGCTGCTCAATTCTAACTTTTGTGTTGATAAGGCCCATATTTTTGTCACACTCCATGTAACTATGTCCCCTAATTGGAAACGTAACTTGAACTGTATCGAAACGATCTAGGTCATGAACAAGGTGATGAAGAGATCTGAATAGCGTATAATTTTTATTTTGCCCGGCACAACTGTCGCAAAATATATCAAGGTGTCTTACTTCAGGTGGCAAAATGTTTTTGCAAAAGTGGTAAAGCATAGAGACCACATCATCTGCTCCCTTTTTTGCAATGGTCTGATCATATGTGAAAAAGTAAGATTCGGCGGTAGAAAGAACATGGATATTGAACATATAAAATGACAACTGACGTTTATAATATACGTCATTTGTTGGAATATTAGGCACCGGCAGATTCTTCATAAAATCCATGCAGATGAATTCGTAAGAGGCAGATTTTCTTGCTTTCTTGTTTGCTAATCTTTTCCTCTTATAAAACATTTTAGCTTTTCTCAAATGTAACTCGTTAAGTACGGTTAAATTCCCTATATCCTTTTCTTTTGCGATGCAGTCTTCTGGTGTACAATTTTCTTTTTGAAGGCATGACACCTTAGCCTGGAATTCGTCGCAGTTCGAGCAGGTGTCTGTTCTTGGATACCCAAATGAAATATTATATTGGGTATTAAAAATATTTCTGTAACATTCGTATGACACGGGATTTTCTGGATTTATATCAGTGTACATATTGTGCAATTTTTTAATCGAAAGATCATCAGGTAAATATAAACGTTTGGAATCATGCAAGCTATAGTGTGATTTCCTACCTTTTAGAGACTGAATATGGGAATGAATCCTTTCTATTGTTTGGTCTGACAGTTTGTGTTTTCTATTTTTGTGTTTACCCCTGTTGTCGATTGGAGGATTTCCTGTTGTAATGAGTGAATGTTGGATAGTCCTTATGATCTGAGAAGTTATCCCAAAAATTGAAAGAAATGCCTTCCTGCATATAGGAACCTCAATCGCACCTGTTTCACGTACCAATCTAACTTTGTAACAAAATGCATGATTGTGCAAGTTACTGTCTGCTTCATTTTTTCGTGGTCTTCTACGTTTTATCTGATGAATTGAAATTAAGCCAGCTAAATAAGCACTTTGATTGTTTTTCGATCCCAGCAAATTAAAATCTTTTAACAAACCGTCTCTTTCTTTAACGGATACTGTTTCAAAACATTTTAAACGCTTGCAGGAGCAACTGTCACCACACTCATGGCTAGCAACACGTAACCTCTTATTAGCAGAACGTAATCTTCCTGTAACTTTCCTTTTTTTTGTATTTCGTCCAAAACTTACAGACGTCTCATTTTCGTCTTCACTCGACATTATTAACACTGTATTAAACACGATCAGTAAGTCAATAAGAAAATAAAAACTTCAAGCACAAACACATTACAACGAAATAACTTGTCACACTGACGCAATCTGATGCAAACGTCACATTTATGCAAGCCTGCTTGATGAGTCCGGTGGACTTAGAATGTTCTTTCGTTGCACACTCAAATTTCAAAGCCGATTTCTATGGACTAGGATTGATATTTCATTATATGGACTTGATACAAAGCTAGAGTCATGTCGTCGCTAACAGATGGCACCAAAATCTAAAAAATGAATTTTTGTGACTTTGTATGTTCTTCCCCTGTACCCTTCAATTGTATTCTGTCGGTATAAGGTCGAGGTTGAAGGTTTCGAGGTGTGGAGTGAAGAAAATGTTTTCAGTTATAAGGCACTTGAAGCTGCCTCCTTTTGTATATATCAATGGAACGATATGAGACTGAGTAGGGCTTCCAAAGCAGCCGTCGGACAAGATCTCATTGCACCCGTTATATTAAGATATGCTAACCACTGGATTTGTGCCAGCTGTTGTTAAATTAACATTAATAATGAACTTACTAAAAATTTTTAACATAAATGAATAACCAACCTAATGTAAAACGTAAGTTTTTTTCATTGGCCACAATTTTCTACTACAATGTACCATATGGGAGCATTCACAGTAGTTATTTTTTCTAATAACTGAAATGCATATAAATTATTGAATTACAATACTTATTAATTAATTAATTACATGTTTTTTTGTTACAGCTTGTGTGTGAATTACATGGATATGATGATCAATCATTGTGCAACTAAAATTGGGTCATTACATGGATAGTAAATATTTTGTCTGATATTCAATGGAACTTCCTTCAGTAGATCTATCAAATTTTGAAAAATGAAAATTGATGCTGAACCTGACTTTTCCCTGTCACATGTGGGTTATTTTTATACCAACCTAAATTTGTATATTATTTCCACAATGTGCCGCTGAGATGTCCTAATGATTTCATCTTTGAGAAATTTAGTTAGGAACCAGTCTTTTATGGCTGTGCTATGGATAGGTACGCAACGTTCTACAAAGAATGATTTCACAGAACTTGAATAATTTTTTGTGGAACGCTTGTGTACGTGCAATCTGTATATTTTGGGATCTGCTTTTTTGATAATTTGTTTTATTAAAGTTCCCAAAATATTACTCTTCCTTATAAGTCTGCTTATTTTTCTCTGTACTTGATATTATGTAACTGTTTATACAATTATTTTGAGTCGTTCAAACTTTTGTATAAGTATAATTTTTAAAATTATTCCAATGTTTTGAATTTTAAGAATATTATGTTGCTATCATACTTGATAGTTGAGATGAGATCTTTTCGAGATACATTTCGGAATATGACATATATTTCAACAATATAACTACAAGATATGAGCTGAGCTTGCTCATAAAATGCACAAGCTGGTTCGCTACAAATCCGATTATTTCAGGTTGTTTGTCGAAAATTAAGATTACTTTTTTATACAGTGATTCCAGGTCAAACTCCGACTTGGAGCTTTTCTTACACCGGCATGAATTCTGGGTCAAAGAATAACTAACTTAACTTATAACAATTGGCCTTAACCCATTAACGCCTAGATTTTTTTTTATTTTGATGACCTTATTCACATATTTTTATATAAAATAACATACTTAAAACATATATTTAGCTACAAAACAAATCCATATGAATATTTCAAAGAAAACACCTGGGAAAACTCCGTATGGGACCACTAGGCTCTACACAGAGAAAAGGGTATAAAAATTTCAGTTTTTGTTTACTTTGTATGAAATGTTTTAATAAAACATTCAACACAACCCTACATAACATTTACAACCCATTGTTCTTCCATTGCTTGTGCAAATATCTCCAGCACACCTGCGGCGACTTCCCTGAGGCACAGAAACGCCGAAATAACTCAAACAGTCAAACCAAATAGCATTAATTAAATAAAAAAGGAATAACAATAAGAAACCTCATCTTGTCGAACTACAAAGAAATCAAATAACGATTATAAACAAAATTGTTACAAACATTGTTAAAATGAACACAGATAATATATTTATAATCTACTGAACTGATTTTCTAAATACTCACAGTCAAAATTTTTTTTTACTATAAAAGTTTTCGAAACATCAATGAAATTATGTTGAAAATCTAGAATACTCTATTTAAGATACTAAAACACATTAAAATTATGTCATTGCAAATAAATAAAACAGGTACAGGGTGTCCCAATTTCGATGTCCGCATAGGCTATCTCCGAAACTAAAAGAGATA